TCACACCAAAATAAGATTCACCTCATCAAGGTAAATAAAAATAAACAAAAATTATACTATATTTATTTGTACTTGTAAAAACAGGGAATCAATATGAAGTTAAAAACAATCATTAATATACACTCTACAAAAGCTAAAATACTGGGAATATAATAGAGATATAAAATATATAGAATATAATAATATCACATAAATGACAATATCATTTACCAATTGCAAAAAATATTATGTAGCCATTTGGAATTTCTATTGTAGTCAATAATCAACTATTAGCAATAATTCTTGTTTCAAATTGCTGTTACTTTAGTATTTTCAAACAAGGACTCGTTGAAATTAAAGAGTTGATAGTTTAATAAAGCAATATCCATAGCAAATTTTTCAATAAGCATTTAGTAATTATAAGGTCTACTCCTGAATTAACACTTCCAAATTCACATCAACAGTAGGGCTTAATAAAGTGATGTTTGTTATATTGAATCAGGAGTGAATATTGATCAAAGATTTTGTATATTCCACACATTTTTGAAGGAAATTTTATTGTATAAATATAATTATACTGAAATAAATTTGATAATTATTTGAGTTTTTTTTAGATTCTTATAATTTTTCTGATGTCTTCTGAGGTGAGAGCTCATGAGAAGTATTTTTCCACATTTTTCATATTTGTAAATGTTTTCTTTAGAATGGGTTCAGGGAAGATGAAATATTGAGGATTTGGTTAAGAAATTTTCACGTTCTTTACATTTATAAGACATGGCTCAGATGAGAGTTCTCTGATGAACATTAATAGAAAGCAATGGGTAAACACCAATACATTTTTGATATTTCTATGGTTTGTCTCTAGTGTGGATTCTCTGATGAACATGAAGAGAAGAGCCATGCCTAAAGCATTTTTCACAGTCATAACATTTATAAGGTTTCTCTTCAATATGAGTTCTCCTATGACATTGAAGAGTGGAGGACTGGACAAAGGACTTTCCACATTCATCACATTTATAAGGTTTCTCTCCAGTATGGATTCTCCTATGACACTGAAGATGGGAGGACTGGACAAAGGACTTTCCACATTCATCACATTTATAAGGTTTCTCTCCAGTATGGATTCTCCTATGACACTGAAGATGGGAGGACTTAACAAAGGACTTTCCACATTCATCACATTTATAAGGTTTTTCCCCAGTATGGATTCTCCGATGAATATGAAGAGATGCTCCATCCCTGAAGTACTTTCCACAGTCATCACATTGATAAGGTTTCTCTCCAGTATGGATTCTCCTATGACATTGAAGATAGGAAGACCAGACAAAGGACTTTCCACAGTCATCACATTGATAAGGTTTCTCTACAGTATGGATTCTCCTATGACATTGAAGACTGGAGGACTGGACAAAGGACTTTCCACAGTCCTCACATTTATAAGGTTTCTCTCCAGTATGGGTTCTCCTATGACATTGAAGATGGGAGGATTTAACAAAGGACTTTCCACAGTCATCGCATTTATAAAGTTTCTCTCCAGTATGGGTTCTCCTATGACATTGAAGATGGGAGGACTTAACAAAGGACTTTCCACATTCATCACATTTATAAGGTTTCTCTCCACTATGGAGTCTCCGATGAACATGAAGAGATGATCAATCCTTAAAGTACTTTCCACATTCATCACATTTATAAGGTCTCTCTCCAGTATGGATTCTCCTATGACATTGAAGATGGGAGGACTTAACAAAGGACTTTCCACATTCATCACATTTATAAGGTTTCTCTCCAGTATGGATTCTCCTATGACATTGAAGATGGGAGGACTTAACAAAGGACTTTCCACACTCATCACATTTATAAGGTTTTTCTCCAGTATGGATTCTCTGATGAACATAAAGAGATGATCTATCCCTAAAGTACTTTCCACAGTCGTCACATTTATAAGGTCTCTCTCCAGTATGGATTCTCCTGTGATGTTGAAGATTGGAGGACTGAACAAATGATTTTCCACAGTCATCACATTTATAAGGTTTCTCTCCAGTATGGATTCTCTGATGAACATGAAGAGATGATCCATTCCTAAAGTACTTTCCACAGTCATCACATTTATAAGGTTTCTTTCCAGTATGGATTCTCCTATGACATTGAAGACTGGAGGACTTACCAAAAGACTTTCCACAGTCATCACATTTATAAAATTTCTCTCCAGTATGGATTTTCTGATGAACATGAAGAGATGAGCACCTACTAAAGAGTTTTCCACATTTACCACATTCATAAGGTTTCTTTCCTATATGGATTCTGTGGTGAACATGAAGGGAAGAAATTTTCCTAAAGGATTTTCCACATTCATCACATTTATAAAGGTTCTCTCTCATATAGATTCTGTGATGACTATGAAGGTATGAAAATTTGCTATAGGACTTTCCACAATCATTATATCTGTATGGCTTCTTTTCTGCAGTGTGACTTGAATCATTTTGAATGATATTTGAATTGAAATCAAAGAATTTATCACATTCTTTAATCTTGCAAAATTTTATTCCTGTATGCTTCATATTATCCATCTCCAGATTTGAGGATTCAATTGTTACCTTCTTGCATGCATCACCTCTGAGTCTCTCATAAATTTCTTGAGTACTAGTTCCATTATACTGAATACAGTTTGAGAATTCATTAAGAATTTGGTCATGGTGCTTGCTTGTCCTGTTCTTCTCTTGCCTATTTTCATGTTTTTGTGAAGAAGTGTTTGAGTACTTACTAAAAACGTTCTGATGTTCATGGGTTTCAAAATGATTAACTATTGAGCATGTATTTATGTGAGAATTACTAGAAATTACATAATTCGTAGAGTAAGTCCATGAGTTCTTGCCATTAAAAGGTATTTCAAACTGACTATTCTGGTAATTATTTACTAAAGAAAGCTTAGAAAGGTCATTATCAACATCACTAAATATATTGGAATTTTCACAACTTCTTTTCTTATGATACATATTATGCCACATTTCATTCCTAAAATATTTATGTTGATCTAAATTGTGGATGTTGACATGAAGTGGAAGTAACTGTTCAGGAACCTCAACTGAATTTTGAGTATAGGAAATACAATACTGCTGACAATTCAAATACTTTTCTGTGCTTAAAGAAGTCCTTTCTTCAGGGACTATTGGAGTATCATTTAATTGCACAGCACTTGAAAAGTGTTGCAAAGAATTTGAAGTGTTACACTCTGTGTCTCTTTGTGAAGTTTCCATATATCCATATAGAGTATAGCCAGGTGTCCATGCTTGGGGTGAATATTTTTCCATATAATCATTTGATTCTGAACTTGTAACTGACACAGAGTGTGCTCTCTTTGGACAGACCAGAAATTCTTGATGATTTTCATAAATAATGCCTTTAGCATGTTTCTCATAAACATCACTCTCATGATAACATGACTCATTTTCTCTGTTGTCACCATGATAATCCCAGAACTTCCTTGTATGTAGCATGTTAAGACCAATAGTTTCAAATAAGCTTGCTCTTTCTTCCTGTAAAGAATCTTGTTTGTACTTCTGTTGGGAGATCTCCTGGGTCTCAGAAAATGACAGAGCTGAAAGAAATGAAAAGAAACAAACTCTTGATTTGTAAAATAATTTGAAAACAATATGCGAGTATAATGGATAAAATGACAGCTGTCTGGGGAATATATTGAGATTGTAAGATAGGAAATTTTCAAAGTTTTGCTGTAGGAAATAAATGTGCTTATGAAAAATGAGAGAAATTCTTGTAATGCTGGACCTTCATAAAGTCATGTAACAGGCAAACATAGACAACAATTTTGGAAAAATATTGGAGCTCTCTCCCACTTGCCATGTGCATACGGAACATAGCTATTGTATTCTCTGCTATGATTCTTTCTGCTTATACAATCATAATCCAAGAGATCACAGTTTTTTCCTTGACTCTACTCCTCCTTGTGAACATCCACTTATTTCCCATTTCCTTAAGAGGAAAACTTGGATTGCACCCCAACTCATTTTCTCCCACAAGGACAGTATACACCAAAACCTACACAATCATGTCTGCCATCTGTTCTCTATTATTACTATCCTCCATAAGAGTGAGTAAGTAGGTTGTTGCCAGTCTATCCTCTCATCTACACAAAGCAATTGCATAAGTAATCTATAATCACCTGACTCTGTGTAATTTCCTGAACACATGATCAAGATAGAAACTACAATATGTCCTGCTAACACTTACAAACACTATGAAGGGCCCTGACATTCTTCTATTACTAGCGAGGGAGCACAGGACACTCCCAATTCTCCTTCATGCATATCATCAGCACTTTTGATCCCAGTCTGGAAACATACATTTACACTTGTTATCAGACCGGTGATTACACAATATCCCCTCATTTACATTCCCTCACCAATCCATCATTCTAGCCTCTATTGTACCCTATGTGCCCATATTTAGACTGGTAATCTCTGTCCATAATACTGCTACATTCAACCTTACAATGGGATGCCCATCTTGTAATTCTACCCATCCCCTGTGCCTACTTGACACCCAACCACCCATGCTATATGTAGCATTCACACATAAGCTTCCCTGTATTTATTGTTGCCTGTTAAGTCTTTGTTGTTCATAACAGGCACAGAAATTACAAAAGAGTTCACAGGACCAATTTTGATCACAAAAACATGATTACTATATATGATAGTTTGAATAACAATGTTCCCTAAAGGTCACATACTTGACAACTTTGTTTTCATGTAGCCACATTATTTGACTCGAAGTATGGTGTTAATGCATAAAATGTGGGACTGAGTTAGGACCTTGAAGTATAAGAAATACACACTCTCTTTAGTTTCCTTTCTGGTGCTTGATTGAAATTTGATATTTGAACATTATCTGTTCTTTCTACAACATTTACTGCCTCTTGACTTCATTCCATGGCATAATGGAGTCTTATTCTCATGGTACCATAAGCCCAATGAAACTCTTATATTTACACATTTTCCATGGAATTAGGATAAAACAACAAAGTAGTTATCTAAAGAAAGAAAAATGTAGCAATAAAATGACTCCTCATGACATTCTGCAATACCCATAGGTCAGTATGTTGTTTACATGTTTTCAGGGAAGGTTTCTTGTAAAGAATATACAAAAATATATAGACATACTGCCAGAAATTCTACAGTGAGTCAGAGACCTTGAATGCTCAACTCTAAATGAGATCCTTCTATCAAATACCTCCCATCCATAGCTCAGGAAACCCTGCAGAAGAGGAGGTGGAGGTAGTGTAAGAGCCACAGCGATAAAAAATATCAAGAAAACCAGGCCCTCTAAATTAACATGGGCAAATTTCATATGAACTCAGAGAGAATGAAGCAACAAACACAGGGACTGCACAGGTTCGTTCAAATTTTCTGTGTAAAAATTATGACTTCTGATTTAATGGTTTTATGGGATTATTGAGCATGACAATGAGTTGATCTTTGATTATTATGCCTATTCTTTGATTTTTTGTTCTGTTGTTTTATTTATCTTGTAAACCTCCAATATGATAGATTTAACCTTATAAGAATTATTTTGTTATATTTAAAAATAATCAAAGATTGAATTAAACCAAACCACTATTTTACATGTGAACAAGTAAACTGACACTTAACATACTGAGATACAACATAACTTTTCTCCAATAGAGTGACACTCAGTATATCTATAGGTCTTTCCATTTTTCAGTTGCCTAGGAATATCTTAAATTGATAAAAAACTTGCCTTTCATCTCAGCATTTGAAAGGCAGAGGCAGAGGCAGAGGCAGAGGCAGGTGATTCTCTATGGTTATGAGGCCATTCTGATCTACATATTCAGTTCCTGGCCAACCCAGGACTACATGGTTACAGACCCTGACTCAGAAAGAGGACAGGTGAGAAAAATAAATTATATGTCCAGGCAATACAAAAAATGCCAATAGAGTCAATTAGGACAAGTGCCCTTTGCAACATTAAGATGGATGGGTTTCTCCCCTGTAAAACTAGTTGTCAAGAAAGCAGACCTTGAACTTGGCCTCACTAAATCCTGTCCTAGTATAATTAACTGACAGAAACATCCCAGATGGCCCTTCGACATGAATCACAGTGTGACTTTTTCTTAAAGTGTTCTTCACTGACTTGAATGCAGACTATGAATGGTGGCCAGAGTGCATTACAATCAGTTTTTTCCAAAGAGTCTTAGGTCTCTAATAAGTTTCTATTAAAAAAACACAAAAAAGCAAGATGGACAGCGGTGGCACTTGCCTTTTGTCCCAGCACTCAGGACACAGAGGCTTTAATCTCAGAACTCAGGGGCAGAGGCAGGCAAATCTCTGTGAATTCCTGGCCAGCCTGGACTACAGAGCAAGTTACTGGACAGCCAGGGCAATTACACAGAGAAACTCTGCCCCCCAAAAGCACCACAATGATAAACGCCTATTGAATAAAATTCATATTTTCAAAGTAGACTGAAAGGTAGGATTCTATTTCAAAGTAAAATATCATAACTCAGAGTTTACATGTGAAATTCAAAAATTCTTTTTTAAGTGTAAATTATTTTAAATATAATTATATAATTTCATTTTAACATTATGCCTACAACTTTCCCTCCAACTACTCCCATATCCTCAAATCAATAATATAACCTCCAGTTCATAATTGTTATACTTTCATATTTATGTAAATATTTTTTCAAGTATACATACAAAACTTCAGAAAGTTAGTCCAGCTTTATTGTTAATGATTATATCTTTTCAGGTCTTACCACTTTGCATTAGAAAAGCACTAACAGGGAAAAACCATGGCAGATGGCAATTCTCCTTGTCAAAGCATTCAATAGGTATCTATGATTCTTTGATTAGAGATTTGAGATTGAGGAACTCTATGATTTGTGAAACAAAAATTTTGAAATATTTTCAGTTATGATGGAAGGAAAGTCAGTACAATAGGTAAAAGAGAGACTAGCAATAAACTTAACACCAAGCATAGAATCTTGATTCAAATTTTCTGGTATTAAATATATATATGTGTGTGTGTGTGTGTGTGTGTGTGTGTGTGTGTGTGTGTGTGTGTGTGAAAATTTAAATAAATTTTAATTACAAAGAGGAGTAACTATGATTATAGGCCTGTTCTTGATAATCTTAAAATATATTTAAATATTTATTGACTATATATATGGGCATGCATATGATTTGATAGTAGTTTTCAGAAACCTCTTTCCACTCTGTGTGTCCATGGCGATTTCACTCTTGTAATCAGATTTGCAGCAAAGTATTTTTATCTCTCTGGACCACAGGAGAAATCTTTTGAAGAAACACAGACAACTGTACTTCTGTAGAAGCTTGTTAAAACATGTATATATCTAAAACAATTTAAATGTCTTTACTAAATGATGGTCTTGCCAATACACAAATTTAAAATTATGTGCCAACAAATAATGCTATATTGTTATTTCATTAGCCTTCACTAGAGAAGCTTAGTATGAAGATTTTGGAGAACTAATCCCTACCTGGGATTCTTCTATCTTAATCCTTGCATCAGTGTTCAGGCACATATGAATAAATGGATGCAGAGGGAGCATAAAGTTAAGAAATGGTAAATGAGTCACTGTAGGGAAGAAGTTTTCAGATATTATAGACATAATGGCCACACAATCACCAAGTGTGTGACAGCAAGGCCACAACCCACAGAAGCTCAAGACAGACAAAATTTCAGCTTGTAAAATGGAAAGTAGGCCAATAGTCACAACTCTTTGACAAGAACATGTGCCGTCCTTAGCTTTCATGAGTAAAAAAATCTGTTTTCAATTGAATAACATCGGGATATATCAATCATATTCAAAGCCTTGTGTTCAGAAATAGTTGGCCAGCAGAAATCTTCCTCAATGTTTTAATGTATATTCTGTTTTTTTATTTCATAGAGAGAATGAGATGGGATGTGAGAATCAGGATATTAGGTGAGTGTGGTAAAGGGATAGTATGCAAGAAGGTAAAAAAAATAACAATAGATTCAGAAATATTGTAAACATTTTCAAAAATAGAGAAACACTAGAATCACTGTTACAAAGGAGAAAAATTCAGAAATCTATTGGAACACAAAATAAAGCACCACATACATTGTCAATTTGTTATTGGCATTCTAAATTTCATCTAATTACTATTCTGAAGAAATGAGGGAAAATCATGTAAAATTCTCTGTGTGCTTGATCCTAGTCCACAATTCTAAATGAAATTCTCAGGCATCGCTTCTAGTGAGAATCTGGACTAATCCAAATGAAGTTATTATTTGTTTCTTTCTTTGTACTCCAAAAATGAACCAGTTTCCTTCCAACTTACCTGAGTCTCTACCTTCTGTTTTCTCTATGTTCATGATCCAGGGTTCTTTGTTCTGTTCAAGACAGGTGACTAGCTCTGGCTTTGATACAGAAAGGCCTGAGAATTAGAAGAGACATGTGAAAATTACTTAACATGATGTGGAAAAGAGTTGGGTGTTGCCTCCCAAAAGTTGCTTACATCCTTCTCCCGTTTCTCAAGTAATATTACATCCTTCTGAGGACTTTGATATTGTTGAAGACTAGATAGTTGCAATTTCCTCAGTTATGATAGAAGATAAGTTAGATATAAAATCTTAAACTCACAAATATAAGATAGATACGACATCTTTAGTATTGTAACTGTAATTTTTGCTCAATAATTGTTTTGTTATATGTAATTTTATTATGTTAAAGTTAAAATCTTCATTTTAAAAACAAGGGGAAGTGTTGTGGGGTGTTCTGTATGGCAAATGTGTTGCTCTGATAGGTCAATAAACAAAACACTGATTGGCCAGTGGCTAGGCAGGAAGTATAGGTGGGACTAACAGAGAGGAAAATTGAGAAAACAGGAAGGCAGAAGGAGACACTGCCAACTGCTGCCAGGGCAAGCAGCATGTGAAGATGCCAGTAAGCCTCGAGCCATGTTGCAAGGTATAGATTTATATGAATGGATTAATTTAAGCTATAAGAACAGTTAGCATGAAGCCTGCCACAGCCATACAGTTTGTAAGAAATATAAGTCTCTGTGTTTACTTGGTTGGGTCTGAGTGGCTGCCGGAGTGGTGGGTGACAAAGATTTGTCCTGACTGTGGGCCAGGCAAAAAAATTCTAGCAACAGTTGGGATCTATAACAGGCTTGTAATCAGTTGATATGAAGTTACATAAAGAAAGACTCATAAGTAGAGTCTCTTTAGTATATACTTGACAGCTTCTGTAGACTTTTAAGAAAACTTCATGTTCATTTTGTATACATTCAACTTTCCTTTAATTACCCCATTACAAAAACAAAACTGTTGGAATCAAACTGTATTCACACATTATTGTGACTGACTGATTGACTGACTGACTGACTGACTGACCGCAAATAATTGGGTTTAAGGAACTATTAGGCTAAATAAAAAGGCCATTTGAAATTTACAAAAAGAAAAATTTCAGTCACTATTACACTCATCAAAATGTAGAAATAATTAGAATTCATTGATAGAAAACATTTCAAATACTAACACAAGTTACTAGACATTCCTAGTGCTAAGCAGCAATCATGAAAGAATTTATTCTCACCTACAGAAACCAGGTTGCTGTAGTTCTCCAACATGAC